AGAGGGGGGGGGGGGGGCTTTACCTGGACGATCTTTTGTGTTAGTAATAAACAAGTCAATCAAGAAAATAAACACGTAATAAAGTATAGTGCTTTTAAAGACATTTAGAGCACTGATAAAACTGATAATCTCGACATGTGAGATTATTTATGATCATTTCACATGAGAAAAATATCGCTCTTCAAAGACTGCCCTTTTTATATAATAAACAGGAAAATATACATGGACGCTTGGAAATACCAGATTTATTTCTCGTGTTAACCGAAATAAAGGAATTATTGGCATACCAGTAAAGATTATATTGCTTCCTGCACTTGAACTATATGAAGAGATAGAAACTTACTGGGATTTTCCCGGGAATTTTGTGATCACATGATTGTAATGCGCGATTAGTTGAATTAGAATGGGGAATCGGTTCATTCTTCTCTGCACGTTGGCTGCAAAACATCTTCATCTAAAATCAAGTTTAACCACCCTCCTCCCCGTTTTCTGACACAATTCCTTTTGATATGTATACTAGTTCTTAGTCGTGGGTGTTTGAATTACCCCCCACCTTTTCTGTGCGAACAATTTTCCTAATAATTACTTTTACTAACATTAGTTTCCTTGATAATTTGTTATATGAATAATTATGTTATTCGTTACAAAAATTAATAAACAGCCCAATGCTCTGCCATCTGAGCTACGCGGTCAGGTCGGTTTGAGTATGTGGTATTTCGGAACCTAGTTCCTTCGATATCAATGCAATTTAGTAATCATGATTTAATATAAAGAAAAATAATACTTTTTTGTTAGTTTCGTTGCATGAAAGGTACAAAATCTAAATTAGTAATGTTGTAGAAAAGCAGAACAAATTACAGTAAATTACAACAAACTATAAAGAAGCGAGACACTTTTTGAATTTTCACTGCAAAAGACAATGTCAATGTTGTATTAATAATGTAGTCGGCTACTGGAAGACTGGGACTTATAAACAGGGGTTGGCTTACATTCAAGGGAATCAGGGTAGATGTAGTGTGCTTATACATGCGGGGGCTATACTCGAAGTTTTATGGACACAACTAAAAACTCTCAGGTTGTTGCAATATTGATGAAAACAGGATTGAACAACGTTTTGTTGCCCACATTGTTCACAGTTGTCAACAATATTGAACAATATTCTTCGCCCAATTCAGGCCACGGTGGGTAGGCCAGGCATATTTTTCAAGCTTGCCCGGTGTGGATACACACTCAGAGTAACATCACAAGCATCTTATTCACCTGAGTACATTACACCAACACAACAAATATCAGATGGGTTGGTTTTTAAATCATTTAGAACAATTGCAGTTTGTGCTTTATCAGAAACAAAACTCTCAGCTATCGCCTTGTGTTTATATCTAATAAAGCAAGCCTGCTCATGTTTTAAATAAGTCCTTAAAAATACCTGTGGTTCTGGTTCCAGACGACCCTATTTTTTCATTATTTTTTCAAAGCAATTGACTGTGCAACCCTATTCTCTCCGAGAGGTTGCGGGCTGCTCATACAGCGTACCAAAAATGACATCTGTTGTCACACTAATGAACCTATTACCTAAATTGAACATAATTTTGATCTGGACAAGTCTAGACAAAAATTTCACCACAGCTTCAAAGAGCGTCTCAAATGTAGTAATTATTCTGTAAAATGCGGATAATATAGCCCTGCAAATTTTGCCGTTTTTCAGTCATTTTGTATTACGACATGAAATTGATACCGCTTTCTGAAAAAAGGTATCAATTTCCCAATTTTATTTCCAACCTACCAACCCTAATTCTTTCATATGAAACCGGAACCACAGGTATATTTTTTCAGCCTAGTATGTGTAAAGCCTATATGTTTCTCTTTCTCTATGACTGCCCAAGTTGTGAACTTTTTGAATGAAAAATTTAACTACAGTATGTGCTAGCTATAGTCCCCAAATACTCACCGTTCCTTCACTATATTTTTTTACATCGCCAACAACATTGGGATATGGTTGGGCAACATTGTTTGTAACAGCAACACAAACTTGACAGAATGAAATTTTCTTAACCCAATCATTGCTGTAGAAAAGAGGACTGTTAGAAATGTATTGGTTGAGATGGTATAACTGACAAAATATATATAATCATATGTATATATGAATATTATTATATATTATTATATTTATTCTGATAATCATATATGTATATAGAAATATATAATTACCAATTTGTTCTTGTTCGGTGGTGATCCTGGTACACATGCAGGTTGGACATAGATATATCAGACAAGACTTGAAACTAAAAATACAAACAGAAACAAACGATGAAATGAAAAGATGGAAACTAAAAGCAAGAACAAAGCATCAAATAAATTTTAAATTCAAAAAAGAAAAATCATTAAAGCATTGGGCTACATATCTTTGTAAAAATGGACTATCTTCAGTGAAAGAACTCCAAAAACCAAAAATTTGTCTCCAGCGAATAATTTATATAATGCTAAGGAATAGGAACAAAAAGAAGTTAAAATTACCCAGCATAGTTTTAATAAATGTAATACAAATATCCAAATATTGTGTCCATCTGCATCCATACTGTATTGATGTACTCCACACCAGAGATGTCACACGCTGGAGATGTCCCACCCGAGTTACAAAATTTGTAGCCATAATGAAATTACTGCTATAGCGATTATTAAAAAGCATACAGGATATCTAGTATGACATGAGTATTGTATTCATATATTTACCATTGAACTTTTTAATATACTGTGGAGTTCTTGTACTTTGGCAAGGCAAAATTATAAACTTGTGCCTTATTTTAATTAGATTTGGATGTCTCCTTGTCCTAGCCTGTGTAGCAGGCGTTTAGTGTGGGAGAAGACGTCGTTTGAGGAAATGCCTGCCCAAGTAGCCATGGCAATTAAATTTGTTTTTGATCAGCTTTAAATCCCATTCCCATAACAGAAGTAATTAGTCCAGGGTGTTAGCCAGAAAAGAAATGTTTTGTCCGTTAAACATAATTTTTGACCGATCAAAGTCCTTGTGTAGGAATAAATAATTTTTTCCAAGTGTTTCTCCTTTATAGATGCAAACAACGGTAGCTTGGTTTTGTACATTTCATTTCCGGTGAATGAACACTGAAAAATGCACCCGATGGCACTTCGTTTTGTACATTTCATTTCCGGTGAATGAACACACCGATTACACTTTGTTTAATTGTACATTTAATTTCATTGAATACACACCCAGTATGAATGCAACGCGATACATTTCGAGAAAATAGTTAATGGGAAAAAGTAAATAAAACTTTCTTTGACGTAATAATATAAAATCAAACTCCATGCATTTTCTCATCAGAAAAAAATAAAAATTTTCTAGTAGACCCAGTTGGGAAGAGTCCATCAAACGGACAGTATATGGGCTAGCTAACACCCTGATTACGTAACTCAAATGTCAACTGTCAACACTAATTTTGCCTGCATATATTCAATAGCAAATAACCATATATTTCTCTTTAAAAATATGCCTGTTAATGCTTTGACTTGGAGGAAACTCTTTCTTATATTGTAGACGCCAACATTCACAAGTGTCAATTAATATAGTGTCAATTCAGTTGATCGGATGTAGAATTTGAAAATTTATGTATAAATATTATCCAACAAAATGACTTTATAAATACACACGTGTTGTCTGTTGAGTTGCAAAATTTATGAGCCAAAGTCATTCATGCGCTTTGTCTGGGCATGAGTAGTTCCACGATAGTCAGGAATTTCGCGCAGGGCCACCCCGGGGGCCTGGGGCAAATTTTTTTTTAGGGGCCCCTATCTAAAAAAATTTTCCCGGAAAATTTTTTTCCCAGAGAACAACCTCTCCCCCCCCCCGTCGCCAAAAAATTTTCGGTCATTGAGTATACCATTTTAGGGGTAAAATATTTTTTCCGGAGTACAAAATTTTTCCGGACAAGTACGTTGCAATTGCTTTCGAGGGACTTTATCTCATTTTTTTATGCCAAAATTCAGTACTTAGCCCAAGAAAACAGATATCTTGTCCTTTGTGCGGAAATATTTAACACACACAAAAAAGGCTGGGGCCCAACAAAAAATTTTCAGGGGCCCCCAGCAACTCGGGGCCCGGGGCAATCTGCCCCCTCTGCCCCCCCCCCCTCTTGGCGGCCCTGATTTCGCGTCACACTGGTGTGGATACACTCAGAGACAGATTTTCATATTTTCGTTCGGGGGTGGATAAATATCTGGGGCGTGCTGCTAGCGCTGCTTGCTTTGGCCAGGGCGTGGTGGCAACGCCTGGAAAGGCCAAGGAAAAGTTTGACAAAATTTGTTTTCTAGGCCTGCATGGCAAGATCTGAGACCATAATATTGGTAATTTTACAAATTTAGTAGTAAGAATAATCAAATATGAAACATCAAATCAAAATGTATGTAATTTGTGGGGTGCCAAATGCCTTTGGGGGGTGCAAATCATTTCTGGAGGGGGTGCGCACTCCCCCCACACCCCGCCCCCCAGAAATCCGTGGCTGGATACACTCAAGGACAGATTGCAGCAAATTAACATAAAGTAAAACACACTTACAAAAAATAAGTTCATGTGCTCATCGGCACCACACGTTTGCACATTCACGTCAGGGGCAGATTGATGTTGTCTAATCTATTATTGAAATTTGATTATGGACTACCGAGCGACATAAGCGTACCGGGTGGGGGAGCGGGGGGGGGGCGGTAGCCCCCCCAGTTTTTTGGGCAGTCGGGCAATATTTGATCAACAGTTGGGCAATTTTGGTTTGCAAAAAAAAAAATGGGACAAATTCTGTCGATGTTGTCTAAAATTAAGTCATTTTTTGGCAAATTTTGTGATTTTTGACCCCTAAAATGATACACTGACTGAAATTTTTTTCGGAGGTCGCCAAAATAATTATTCCGGAAAAAATTTTTGGGTACTAGTCGGGCAGAATCCCGAAAAGTCGGGCAATTTTCTTTCCGCCCCCCTAATTTTTCCTTCCGGTACGCCCATGCCGAGCGTATTTAGACCCACTGATCATTGACAGACATTGCATACTCATAGTTCATCGTTAGAGTTGGATTGAAAGCGTGTAGATCTAATTCAATGTGTCAGTAATTAGCGGACCCTATATTTGTATCACTAGGCACTAGCTAATACGCTTACGGAAAGCGTACCAGTCAAAAATTCCCTTAAAACATGTATTTTCTAATCATTAAATTAATTTACTAAAAGTGACGGCTGTGACGCCAGAACGCAGGAAATGCTGTTTCTGACAGAGCCTCAGATTGTAAAATTTTTACCGGATCATCACCACCCCCCTGAAATTTTTGCACCCCAGAGAAAAATATGAAAATCCTCCCTTGGATATACTACTAGACACTCAGAGTGACGTCACAAGCTTCAATGTCAACTTGTTAAGAATTTCCCGTATTTTGTCTCTAATTAAAGTATTAATAACATAACATACCTCATTTAACAGCATTACCATTAACGACATTTACCAACGTCACACAGGGAGCTTTTTTTTTTGTAAAACAGTTTCATAAAATAAAATGCTCAAAATTCACATTGGTCGCCATCTTGGATTTGATCGCGAAGTGAACTGGAACCGAGTTGACATCTTACTGGGAAACTTCCGCCGGAAGTACGGTGCACTTTTCCTAGCGCGCGAAACCGATGTCGAGCTGTGTATATTATGCAAATCAGTCTCTTTCAACATGTCGTGATCGGACTGCCGCGATATTTGAAATTTAATTTTAAAAATCTATGTGCTGCTAAATGTTACGCATTGTTGTCGGAATTCAATATTAATGTTCCTATATCCCGGGCATATTCTCTCATCAAGTGCCAGGTCACTTGGCACTGTTGCTCTGTGTCGATAGGTTGCCTTTTGTTAATTGTATGTCAATCTAATTGTCAAGCACCGTCCTAGTACCTATATTCTGTAGAATAGTTTTATATTTAGTACCACTTTACATGCCGAAGACTGCAGATTGGCAGTCGAAAACTCATGTTTAAATAAATTTTACGATCTGAGGCTTTTCAGAAACTTTATTAAGAATCCTGACATCTAGCATTTTTGATCTACACGAAAAGTTCAAAAATTACGCGTGAAAGGCTACTGAAATTCATGACGTCAGGTATGTCTGATAGCATGGCCAAAAGTCCAAGTCAGTAGAAGTCGCGCGTTTGGATTTGGTGCACATCGAATCGTCATCAAATTACGTTATCATTTAAATGTGTTCTTCAAACAATGATAAAAAATTGAGATTAATGGCGCTTTAGATAATAAGCATTAACGGCACTGAACAGAAGTAAAAAGTGAAAATAATGAAAATAAATGTTCTTTTATTAAAGAATGCTTTCCAAGTTTTGAAATTACGTTTAAATGAAGTTCATCAATTACTAAACAAAATTTGCCACCACAGCAATGCAAATTCGCCCCAAAGTTGTCAATTGGGTGAAATAAAGAAACTAATTCGTGGTCAGATCATTCTAAACTTTCAACGTCAGAAAAGCTGTAAATAGTAGGCATGCGAGTCATCAATACATTCAGATATACAGCTATTTCAATTAAGATTTATCCGGCACGAGCAATTGAACAAAGCGGAAAATACGCGCGCGAAAGCAGGGCAGGGAGAGAAGATGCGAGTCGTATAGTTGAAGAAGATTGTTATTGCTGCTTGGACAGCCTTTCGTTTACAATTATGGTATAATCTTTCACCAGGAAAATATAATATAGTTTTGAATCATGGATCGTGACTTGTTTCAATCCGTCAAAAGTACACCACCTCGTGTCAAGTGCCGGCAACTGGCGGCTTTATTGAATCATTAGCATGCATATTTGGCGTGTAAATTACAATTTAAAGAGCCAACATCGCAAGTTGCGTATCAAGGCACCAAATACGAAACATAAACTCGTAATTTGCAGTGTTTCAACATAATTTTTCATTGAAGCTTTTAAGAAATACGTTTAATTCGTTGGCTATTTAATTAGTAATGCAATTGCATTGGAATACATATACTCTCAACAAATTTGCGAACACTCATAATAATCGGCCGAATTTAAGGTTACAGAATACCCCTTTTGCGTTTTGCATGCGGAAAATCGTTACTGCGCGCTCAATATCAGATTTTCATCAAATTTTCACCAAATGTTCTCCAGTGCATGCAAAACATGGTAAAGTTGTAAAATTAACAAACAATAAAATAATGTAATTATTCAGGAAAATCTTAAATCGCGGTACCGTTACGCTTTTGAGTTGTGCTCCTGCTGGTTTTAAGTTATATTTATGAAAATATCATTTTTATACAGTAAAATAGTTGTTCTAAAAAATAGTGTTCGGAAATTTCTGTTTATTTCGTCATTCTGCTGATATGGCGATTTCTTTGACGACTGCAATATATTTCTGAACTGTATGAGTGAATTGCTCTTTATTTTTAAAATATGCAAAATTTAAAAAAAGCCGAACACAATTTTGAAACTGACGGCTTTAGCTATGTCCTGTGAAAATTTGAGAAAAATTGGTTAAAACCCGCAGGAGTACAACTCGTTTGAAAATCAGTAATTACCGTAAAATTTTTCGGGAGAAAATTGAATTTGAATATTACATTTTCAATGTTTTTCTTATTGCAGCGAAATGTATTTTATTAAATAACTCTGCGAGTTTTCAACATTTTACGTCCAAACTTTGTCAGATAGTAGAACTAGTCTAATGCTTTCATGGAAACCAATAAAAAAAATTTAGGCAAAATTAACACTCAAAGGTGTTCTGTAACCTTAAACTAGTGTTTTCGTGGCTTTGTATTAAAATAAAGAATGTAAAAGAGAAGAAAAATACATAACAGGCAACAGGATATGCTGCTGAAACCATTTAAGTAGGTTTTTTAAATTTTAAACTCGTTTACGCTGTAGAGTTTTTGTCATGAAATACAAATATTGTTGTATGAATGTTGTTCAATGTTGATATTTCTTTCGTCGCTATATAACAAAACACTTAACGTCTTTTCCCTCGGGAAATAGTTAGTTTTGTTTTCCCTCGAATCTCAATGTTTCCCTCGACTTCGTCTCGGGAAACATTGAGATTCTCGGGAAAACAAAACTAACTATTTCCCTCGGGTGCAGACATTAAGTGTATATAATCTTTCACCATGCAGGAAAATAATATAGTTTTGAATCATAAACTGAGACTTGTTTAATTCAATTCGCGTTAAAAGTATCCCACCTCCATCTCGTGCCGACAAAACATTTCCTTATTATTAAAGCCTGGCGCACGCATGCAATAATACTCATTAGAATATTTAGCGTGGAAATTACAATTTACAAAGCCAACTTCGCAATTTGCGTATTAAAGTACCAAATACGAAACATATACTCGTAATTTGCAGTGTTTCAAAAAAAAAACATTTGATAAATTTTTCATTGAAACTTTTAAGAAATACGTTTAATTCGTTGGCTATTTAATTAAGCTTGCGAACAGCGCTTTGAACAACACTAGTACTGACAATGATCGGCCGAATTTAATGCATGATTCCAGAGATATACTAAATTTTCATCTAGGCAAGAAAAACGAAATCCATCACCACAGCTAGATAGAAATTATTGTAAGATATTGTATTACGCGCAGTAAAATACACCACATTTGGGCCGAAAGTGGTGCATTTTCCCGTGCGTAATACAAAACAATATAAAATTTGCAAATTTCGCAGGGCTATATTCTCCTCATTTTACAACATTTCGCAACCAACTTTTGCAATTTTACTAATTTTAAGACGCTCTTTCCAGCTGTAGTGATGGATTTCGTTTTTCTTGCCTAGATCAGAATTACGTCTACAGCTGGAATCGCATTAGCATCGCGTGCGCCTGGCTTTAGCAAAGATCATAAATTCTAATCAGTTTCGAGATTGTTTTACTTAAGGTGTCCAGTCTGGCTTAATATCACCAGCACAATGATAGTCAGTATAATAAGAATAACCACGATCAAAATCAAACACATTTTCGTATTTTGCCACCACATTTTTCGTCGTACTCTCACTGCACTTGTTCGGAAGGTACTCGCCTGCAAGACAAAATAAAAAACTGCATTAGGGACCGGTCATAAAGTAATTGCTAGGGTGGGCTGGAGTGATTTGGGATGGGCCATGGAAAATCTTTGAGCAGTTTCCATCGATGGGCCGCCAATTTTTTTGTATGTCCACGGTTGGGCCACCAAACAAAAAAACATGCATGTCTATTTCAAAAAATAAAGATACTAATAGTAAAAGTAAACAAAACTATCCAAATTATCAAATGCAAATGATGCTATTGTCTATTGAAGCCAGTACTTTGTTTATACAACAACAGAAAGTGGTCGAATCACAGCAAATACAACCAACTAGAGAGCAGCTCAGTACCAATGTGTTTGTCAAGCTTGGTGGAATTATGTATGTCAAAGTGCCGTGCATGTATATTTACAATGTTCATACCTGCAAGTTTTTTTTACTATGAAAGTGTATTTTCCCAATTTAGATTGGATGGGTCATGAAAATTTTTTTGTAAGATTAGATGGGCTTTGAAATTTTTATCTACATCCTAAGATGGGTCACCGAACTTATTGGCAAATTTGTGATTTACCTCCAGCCCACCCTAGCAGTTACTTTATGACCAGTCCCTTACTTGCATAGGAAAAAATTTCCATGAATGGGTTTTGGATGGTATTTAAATATTTACCATGTATACTGTAAAAACTGAACTCTTACTATTATCGATTAATTAAATTTCATTAATACACCCTTTTCATAAATGGCTGCCGATCAAAAATTCTTTTATGTGCATAAAATTGGCCCAACTAGCCCCGTACTCATGTTAAGATTTCAAAGGAATTTCTACTCAGAAACGAGGCTAGTTGGGCCAATTTATATGCACATAAAAGAATTTTTAATCGGCAGCCATTTATGAAAAGGGCGTATGGTATGGAATTTATTTTTTCCCGTTGGTTCTATGGAAGAAGTGATTTACCAATGTGGAAACCCACCCATATTCTGATAACCGACATTCATAAACTCATTACAGTAATAATTCATGAGGAAAACACAAAGAAAGTTCATAAGCGTGTCGTATCTTTGTATGTGATAGAGATTTCCCTTGATTTACATAAACTTTAACTTTGATTTTCTTGACTTACACAATGTATTTTTTTAAAATTACTTCGCCAATGAACTAGTAAGATCGATTTTGAAGTGCTATTTAAAGTATACGAGGCAAAGTCGAGTATTTTTAGGTCTGATAAAACACGCACTGCGAATGTTTTAAATTGCTTCAAAAATAATCGATCTAGTAAGTTCATTGGCGAAGTAATTTTCAAAAAATACGTTGTATAAGTCGAGAAAATCAAAGTAAAAGTTTATGTAAATCAAGGGAAATAAATCACATGTAAAGATAGAGTTTTTGAAGCAATTTAAAACATTCGCAGTGCGTGTTTTATCAGACCTAAAGATACTTGGCTTCGCCTCGTATCTTTATATCTGATAAAACACTGCTGCTCATGTTTAAAATAGTGCTTCGAAGGCCGCTATCAGCCAATACCGGTAACCGTCTACCGATATTCTATTTTACTTCGAAATTCATAAATGAAAATTCTATAAAAACTATAGATTCTACATGAATCGAATTTTATGCATGGGAAGTTATTTAAAAGTTTTTGGTATCGTTTGGTTGTTTCAACTTTCAATTAGAATTCTCATGTTATTTGTATGTTATATCAACAAATTCTAAGCAATATTTTAATCTAATAACACTTACACTGTAGTCAAGTTCCTCTGTTTTATCCAATAAAATATCGATTCTTTCACCTCGTTCAAGAACTTTCTCTGTTGTAATAGAAAATATGACAAATTAGTCCAATGTCACTACAGAAGGAAGCAAACTTTACCCCGATTGCCTGCACATACTAGCCCAGCTGACCAGGAAATTCACTTGATTGAAGGGGCGTACCCAATCCCAACCGCTTATCTGTACTAAGACTGGATAATGCATCTATTGTATACAAAAGTTAAGCCGGAAGTCACCGGCCGCCACCCGATTCAAGGGTCCCACTTTTGTATAGATTTATATTGCAGATGGTAGTCTTTCGCGTTTTTCGCCTTGGCTATGTTTCTGACCGGGTCAGTTTTACAATCACAAAGATAAAACATACAAGAAGAATTTTGAGCAAAAAATTGGGAGTTTTATGGCTTTATAACGCCGCGAAACGGGATTTACAACTTTGAAGGAGTGGAGAGCCTCAGACTTTGTTTATCAACACGAGCTCGTTTCGCTACTTTCATACAAAATCAACCCAAAAATACACAAAAATTACTGTTATTGGACGAATATTCTCGGGAAATTTGAAGAAATGAAGCAGCTCAATTTTGAACGAAAGCGTACGTTTTAAAATACCTTGACGCCAATTTTATAATTATATGAATTAAAATAACATTATAGTGAGTCATTGTTACTGTCGTTCCAATTGAAGTGTTCCTCAGATATTGATTCAATACATTACCTCTGACCCAATTCATTTCATCAAGTTCCTCGAGATATTCATACACTTTCTGTGAAAGAGCCAATTCCAAGTATTTGATCATTTCTGGTCACTTCCTTTCTATTTATGATTGGTTAGTTGCACAAACAACAAAGGTGATTGGTGCATTCAAACTATTCAACAGGAAGTTTACAATTATACTAGGAAGTGTATGAATATCTCGAAGAACTTGATGAAATGAATTGGTCAGCCCGAGGTAATGTATTGAATCAATATTTGAGGAACACTTCAATTGGAACGACAGCAACAATCCAAAAGTAAAGCTGGTGACTTCCGGCTTCATTTTTGTATACTATAGATGTGTTACCAAGTCTTATTACAGATCAGTGGTCCCAAGCAACTGGAATGCATGGGGTTTAATTGTTCAATACACAGAACAACTGGGGAATCCGACTGATGAAGGCATGGCTCCCGAAACACTATTTCACAAACTCAATAATTCATGAAGAAAATTCAAAAGAAATGCACATTGATTCTGCATTTGCAAATAATAGGAAGACTACAGCCGTTTTTCGTCAACCTTGAACTTAATTCTCTCTTACTGTCGTTCCAATTGAAGTGTTCCTCAAATATTGATTCAATACATTACCTCTGGCTGACCAATTCATTTCATCAAGTTCCTCGAAATATTCATACACTTCCTAGTATAATTGTAAACTTCCTGTTGAATAGTTTGAATGCACTAATCACCTTTGTTGTTTGTGCAACTAACCAATCATAAATAGAAAGGAAGTGACCAAAAATTATCAAATTCTTGGAATTGGCTCTTTCACAGGAAGTGTATGAATATTTCGAGGAACTTGATCAAATGAATTGGTCAGCCCGAGGTAATGTATTGAATCAATATTTGAGGAACACTTCAATTGGAACGACAGTAAAGTATTGGTTTGAGAAGCTATATCCAAACACTCGCAAATGTTCTTATTCTTATTTCTAAATCCGGACAAGCTGCCTCCGTGCGTGCAACATGCTTGCCTGTATTTAGAAATCGTTTTGCCGTCCTACATGCTTAAGCTGGCTATTAACCGAGTTATTAAAATATTGAATTCGAATAAACATACCGATATTTTGTGTCATTATTCCTTTTACATCTTCGACATCCTGTCGAACTCTAGTCAGTCTATCAGAGGACGGGTCACCTTCGCCACCTCTTGAGTTGAATCTTTCCTACAAAATACATCACAGTGTAATGGACCATTCCCCAATTAACCAAAATTTTGAACTCAACAAGTGTAGACAAAAATTTCATCACAGCTTGAAAGAGCATCACAAAATTAGTAATATTCCAAAGTTTCGTTGCAAAATGTTGTAAAATGCGGATAATATAGCCTTGCGAAGTTTGCAATTTTCAGTCATTTTAGATTACAAACGGGAAATGGTTACCACTTCTGTGCGTAATACAAAATGACTGAAAATTACAAACTTCGCAGGGCTATATTATCCGCATTTTACAACATTTTGCAACGAAACTATATTATTACTAATTATTATTACTAACATTACTAATTTTGTGATGCTCTTTCTGTAGCTCAGTTGGTTAAAGCTCCACAACTGTCTCTCTGTAGCTCAGTTGGTTAGAGCTCGATAACTGTCTCTCTGTAGCTCAGTTGGTTAGAGCTCGACAACTGTCTCTCTGTAGCTCAGTTGGTTAGAGCTCAAAAACTGTCTCTCTGTAGCTCAGTTGGTTAGAGCTCGACAACTGTCTCTTTGTAGCTCAGTTGGTTAGAGCTCGACAACTGTCTCTCTGTAGCTCAGTTGGTTAGAGCTCTACAACTGTCTCTCTGTAGCTCAGTTGGTTAGAGCTCGACAACTGTCTCTCTGTAGCTCAGTTGGTTAGAGCTCGACAACTGTCTCTCTGTAGCTCAGTTGGTTAGAGCTCGACAACTGTCTCTCTGTAGCTCAGTTGGTTAGAGCTCGACAACTGTCTCTCTGTAGCTCAGTTGGTTAGAGCTCGACAACTGTCTCTCTGTAGCTCAGTTGGTTAGAGCTCGACAACTGTCTCTCTGTAGCTCAGTTGGTTAGAGCTCGACAACTGTCTCTCTGTAGCTCAGTTGGTTAGAGCTCGACAACTGTCTCTCTGTAGCTCAGTTGGTTAGAGCTCGACAACTGTCTCTCTGTAGCTCAGTTGGTTAGAGCTCGACAACTGTCTCTCTGTAGCTCAGTTGGTTAGAGCTCGACAACTGTCTCTCTGTAGCTCAGTTGGTTAGAGCTCGACAACTGTCTCTCTGTAGCTCAGTTGGTTAGAGCTCGACAACTGTCTCTCTGTAGCTCAGTTGGTTAGAGCTCGACAACTGTCTCTCTGTAGCTCAGTTGGTTAGAGCTCGACAACTATCTCTCTGTAGCTCAGTTGGTTAGAGCTCGACAACTGTCTCTCTGTAGCTCAGTTGGTTAGAGCTCGACAACTGTCTCTCTGTAGCTCAGTTGGTTAGAGCTCGACAACTGTCTCTGTGTAGTTCAGTTGGTTAGAGCTCGAAAACTGTCTCTCTGTAGCTCAGTTGGTTAGAGCTCGACAACTGTCTCTTTGTAGCTCAGTTGGTTAGAGCTCAACAACTGTCTCTCTGTAGCTCAGTTGGTTAGAGCTCGACAATTGTCTCTCTGTAGCTCAGTTGGTTAGAGCTCGACAACTGTCTCTCTGTAGCTCAGTTGGTTAGAGCTCGACAACTGTCTCTCTGTAGCTCAGTTGGTTAGAGCTCGACAACTGTCTCTATGTAGCTCAGTTGGTTAGAGCTCGACAACTGTCTCTCTGTAGCTCAGTTGGTTAGAGCTTGACAACTGTCTCTCTGTAGTTCAGTTGGTTAGAGCTCGACAACTGTCTCTCTCTAGCTCAGTTGGTTAGAGCTCGACAACTGTCTCTCTGTAGCTCAGTTGGTTAGAGCTCGACAACTGTCTCTCTGTAGCTCAGTTGGTTAGAGCTCGACAACTGTCTCTCTGTAGCTCAGTTGGTTAGAGCTCGACAACTGTCTCTCTGTAGCTCAGTTGGTTAGAGCTCGACAACTGTCTCTCTGTAGTTCAGTTGGTTAGAGCTCGACAGCTGTCTCTCTGTAGCTCAGTTGGTTAGAGCTCGACAGCTGTCTCTCTGTAGCTCAGTTGGTTAGAGCGTGGGGCTGTAGGTTTGATTCCTGCCAGAGGGCTTATAGTTGCATTTTTCGCAACTGCTCCTGGTTAATCAACAATTAATTGTATCTAGTGAAATGCTCAAAAACCAGTAATTATATACCCCAGGAAAGTTTACTTATATATAATTAGAAAATGCCCTGAAGAGTATTCTGCGCGTAGCTGGTGGTTTTAAGGAGTTGGAGTTGAGACCGCGAAAAGCGAAAAATTAGGGAGGCTGCCCGCGCTTCAATCCCTAAAAATGTGCAAGAGAGAATCGTTTCATGACCAAGTTTATAAGACTTTCCGTAAAGCACAGAAACTACTCATGATTCAATAGCGCCATAAACGCGGTAATCACTATTCATTAAATAGGTTTTCAACCTAGTATCGATAAGAGTATATAAATTTAGCTTGATCTGGTTTTCTGATAAAAGCGAAAGCATTATTTCGTAATCCAGTGCAAAAATCCATAGGATTACGTGTTTCTATTGATGTTGATGTATATACGTACATAGTCTTAGATAGAATATTAGTACAGTAATGCGTGACTTTTGACGCATAAATTGCGTCAGAGAATTAATGTGTTCGCTTTCAGGTGCAAAAATTAAGTGTGTAAGAATAAAACCGTCGAGAAGTGGTCTTTATAAAAGATGACGCTTTCTTTATTACATTATGTTAATTATTGTGTTAAACAGTTTTTTAATTAGTTTCACGATCGATGATTAAGATTATGCTAAATATTCACGCATTCTCATTATGTAATATATATTTTTATTAATGAAAATATAAAAATAAAAAATTGTATTCATCTCACTGAAATAACATGTAATATTGCTCACTATAACCCAGCCCGGCTTTGGGTAAGGTTTTATACTATACGTTTTCAATAAAGATGACAGGGGAGTCATACGTTTGAAGTATGTATGCAAATACATTACATTACACTACGCTCAATTTTTGATACCGGTACCACTTTTTGGTTATAGGTAGTCCAAGAACCACTGAAAAGTGGTACGGGTACCAATTTTATCCGTGCCGTACCAAAAATTGAGCGTAGTGTAAACGGGGCTTTAAACTCCCTATATTATTGTGCTAGTGGTGATTTAGAACACAGAAACATGCAAGCCTGATATACTCAGGTTATAAACTTTTCTCCCAGAAATCCAGTAATGGTCATCCTCTTATTAGGAGGTTCAAACTTCTGCTACCACTATACTATTACCTCTCACTGGCTTAGCCGCATTTTGATTGGTTAATTGGATATAACAAACGCATCTGATTGGTTATTGGTTAATGTTATTGGTAGCAATCATCTTCACTAAGGGACGGACCATTAGAAAAGTGATGGGGGGGGGGGGATTTTCTAAGACTAGGCAATACATTTTTTTCTTGTACACCTATAGAAGAAATTTTTTTTTTCTCACTTGATGACTGGAAATTTTTTTTTTGAAGTGAAATTTATAGGCTTATCTTTCAAGCTAGGAATTTTCTTTTTGCCCTATGCCTGGGAAGGTTTTTATTTTTCCTGATTGTTTTTTCTGGGAATATTTTTTTTTTTGGTTTTGCCCTAACCCCCTCCCCCCCCCATCACTTTTCTAATGGTCCGTCCCTAAACAAACTTTTAAACTGTTTTGTAAAGAGGTTCAGTACAAGCATGGATTGTAAAATGTATTTTATTATCCATGGTACAAGTGCCGTCTCCTTTTGCCTGAGGAGAAATTTTTTGACTTTGTGTTTCGTGGCGAATACATGTAATACACGACCCTATTGTGTGGTACGATATAAATTCATCTATTGAGCAATGAGTCACTCGACGTTTAGCTTTGCCGCATATAGTGGGAGTCGCCATTGATTTATCTCATGACAGACTTATCTCATGACATCGCCCGTCATTTCCAATACCCTGTGTAATTAAAGGGGAGATGACAACCATTATATGGCCACGCGGCATCCCGTCCCCTTGCGATAATAACTGTTCTAGATAAGTATGGAGTCACTTGACTTTATGCCACATATGTTGTGGTATAGTTTATCTCCTAAACTGTATAAGATAAGACATTTTCCGGACATGAAATTTACAACAGCATGTACTAAGTAATCTTCTCAATCTAAGCTTATCTCAATACTCGTGCAATAGCTTACACAACAATCAACGGTGCTCGCGTTGCATCGCATTATATGCAAATTCTTTTCCGGCTGTATTTCCTCACAATATATAGCTTCCGGCGTATTATTGAAAAGCCGCGATTGTCTTCATTACATTTTTGACCTGCATGCGCACTGCCGCCAGCTATGTACATTTTACTATAATTTTATGAAATATTACTTCTGTAACATGTGTGTCACTATTGAACAATCTATTACCTAACGCTCTTTCACTCTCTGAAACAAATTACAACATATTTTTTGCGTATACATATGCGATAACAAAATACTTTGCCCCTGTATAGCCGCGTGCCAAAAAGGTCAAGTATGGTTAGCATTTCAAGCTTTTATAAACTACATACAAAGCGGTAGTATAGGCTTCCTTCTTCTGACGAGTTTAAAAGGAAGTGCTAAGGTTACGTGCATATACTTACATTTGCAATCAAATTTTTTTTCATTCTGATAACTGCAGATTGACGACCATTTCACCTGTAAAAAAGACGTTTCCAAACAATTTTATGATTGTTTTATTTATTTATTTTATTTATATTTTATATTTTTTCGCCCATACATACAAAATAAAATATGAAATATAGGATTACAGAAATAGTGCTAGAGGTCTACTATAGAAACCAAACAAAGGCTTTTGATTACGACCTCATGCAAGTATTTACAATCAGTATTTACATTGATGATCAGAACTTAAGATAAGAGTAACAGAAAAAAAGATGAATTTGAAGAATTTTTATAATATTTCAAATAATGACAACGATACATATATGTTTCATAAAATTTATGTTTCCGAATAATATCGGATTTTAAATTTTGTATAAGTCAGTATTTAACTCGTTGCAGATATTTACACCTTTATTGTAAAGTGAATGTTTAACAAGATTAGTTCTTGAGTATGATTTATGAAGTTTGGTTGCGTTTCTTGTATTGTCCAGAAACCATGACCAGAAAAAAAAAGAAAATTGAAAAAAAAAAATCAACAGTCAGTCTCAACCATGCGTCTTGTGTCACCATATATTGTATATTCTCAAGATGTCTGGTCTTTTCGGAATTTGTTTTTTGGTTTACTTTCTTGTATTGTGTTCATGTATTTTGTTGTTTATAGAATATAGTAACATAGTAATTGTGAGTTTTCTGCGCCGTTTTCAAATTCACACGTTTTGCAGTGTCAATGTGGTCCAATTCAAACCCACAAATGAGGCATACTCTTCGCAATGATATGCATGTGCAATACACTCAATACAGTGCGATATGGATGGTAAAAAAATTCAGTGTTGATATATTATGACACAGTGTCCATTTTTTAAATGGTAAAGTTTCTTTTGTACTAAGGATCCCTATTACGCTGCCGTGTGTTGTGATGAACTACCTGAATACGCCTCCACGTTTCAAAAGTCATATAAATGTATTAGCTCAGCATTTAAAAGTTGACTGTACTTTGAGCACATTTCATGAGCTGCGTCACTATCGCTTTCATTTCTCTGAGCCGGTTAGCAGCGGGTGTTTTCCTGCACTAAGCACATACAAGGATATCAAGTTACGCTGTCAAGAAGCTTAAATATCTGCAGCGCGATTGCACAGACGAAACCTCTCCAAATCATCTCGCTTCACACGAGCAAAAGACGTGGACATAGGAATGTGAGGCACGAAACCGGGTTTTAAGCTTGTCTACCTTCTACTAGAATCACAGATTCGTATGGTTGTATTCGAAATATTAGTCCCGTGCGTATACGAGATTTAATGGCAACGATTAGACATACAAGTTATGGCATATATGCGTTCACACGCTATCATAAAGATTTGTACTTAGGAAACCAGTATTAGATACCTTAGCGGTGGATCAACGTATTTATATTACCAAAGATTATACAAAAATTTTCAATGGTATGGTTCTATTACTAATGGATCACAAATACTGAACGAAATCAGGGGATACGTGCAGATAAAATACAGCAAGACAGATTGTAAATACAAAAGTCGATACCCTGTTGGGTTATATAACAAACGAGGACGACACATGAAGCGATTTTTCACAAGGCACATGTCTCTAAGACGACGTGCCCATTATACGTTGCTGAGTTGTAGTGACTCGCAATTGAATAGAACGTTAAAAAACGACACGAAAGGGGACATTTGCGGTAGTCCAGAGGACGTGGACACCGCACAGAATGTTTCGCAACCAAGGAGACGTTGGTATAAGCTGTCGCGGCGTAAAAAACGTCGCGAAAGCGAGACAACTTTAGTGCGCGATGAGGAAGGCGCTATGCTTTCTAGCCAAGCGCACGAGGATCTCGAGATAGCCGTTGAGGCTTCACCTTGCCACTATGAAGACACTTATACTGGTCACGCTACCTTGACACGAAGTGTAAGTGCTTCGATGCTGGACGTGCGGAATGCTGGCATTGATGGCGAGCATTGTGCTCAAGTAAACAGAACAGTAATACCTGTACATGAACATTTTGTTCAGATGCACACGGCTAACAGGTCGGGATTAAAGCCCGAGCATCTGGGAAAACGTCGCTTTGCTATATGCGAGGAACTGGAACGTGATATTATTATGGATAATGGTGTGAACTTGAGAAAAAGCCGAAAGAATTTGGTCATCAGGCAAGTTCTACACGACTTACTGTTGCTGTAGCGAGGTAAAGTGTGCGGGATGCCATGAAGTTATAACTTGCGCACGTCAGCCCGTGCGCGCATAAAATTCTAATCACGGATATTGCGCGATTACCGCCAAGGTGTGTATTTATCACAGTATTATGCTCTGAGCGCTTTTTAACGACGATTTTTAATGCAGTATTGAGCATGGGTATAAAATATGTCCACATTCCTCGTAGCCTAACGAGCATATTCGTACATTCTATCATCATGCCTTACATAAAGGCGGGAGCGAGCTATATTAAAAGCAAAAGGAACATGTATATATTATTGTACATTGTACATAAATCCGTCCTTACACAATAAACATAATTTTGAAGTCTGGTAAAGTGGCTGCCATTGGTTTCCTGTTTGCTTTTAACATTGACCAAAATCTCGCATGGAAGTGTAAATTAATGGCCAACTAAGTTGTTTTATCGGTTTTGTTAATTATCAATTTTCCGTCCTCAAAATCGCTCCCTTGTTGTTCGGTGTAAAAGCTCAAATCATAGACAGAATAGTTCTCACGATGTTTATGCGAGACTGCCTGTAATGTGTCAGCGAACTTGACAGACCTTAATTTTTCATTCAGCTCAACCATAAGGTCGGTGCACATTGCAATTTGTCAAACTGATTTCAGATGTAGTTTAATGATGTATGAAAAATACAAGGTAAACGCCATCTGAAGATACCACGGACTCAAAATATTTACCTATAACATTCAGCAGAACCTGGACTCGGCCCGACAGATCGCAGTGTGCATAAATGTGCTTTAATAATATTTATATACAACTGTTTAAACTTATCTGCATGGGGCAGCTGGGTTTTTATCACAGTTGCTCGAGGTTTATAGGTTTATAAAGTTGTATAAGTTACAGTGTTTCATTCTTCTTGCTGGAATCATTAATTTAGCGAAATCAGTTTTAGAGTCAAGTACACTAGGTGACACAAAACTGTGGGAAATACTCCCTATCAATTGGGTCAACATGTGGACCATCTTGCGGTTATCTTGTTTCATTAAAATAATAGGTTGAATTGTACCAGAGCACTGCAGAGACGCCAATTAATATAGTAGATTGTTATAGTTGAGAAATATGAACTCGTGTACTTGCAAAACATTGGCAGTATTGAAATGTACACTCTTATAACACATTTACAAAGTTTAGCCTGTAAAAAACGTCACAATTCCAAAATTTTCAATGGTGTTGTCAACACTTGGAATCTAACCTTTTGAAATATTCGCAACCTTGTTAAGAAGATATTTCGACATTGATCTCAGATTAATAAACTATAATACATATATTGAATTTTGGCATTTTTGAGGTTTATACTATTGCACACTTTGTCTTTGATCACAGGCAACGCTTAAAACCTTTTAAGACGGTTTTACACTATCAAAGTTTCTGTGATCACAGTAGGAATTTTGCACAGGTAAATTTTAAGTTTAAGAGGGAATTGACTTAATGTTTAACATCGAGAGTCAGTTCCCTCAAACATTTCTTACAAATCTTTCAAAACTTAGAAGTTACCTATACAAAATTTCTACTGCGATCACAGTGTAGACCAGCCTATATTCAAAGCAATTTCGATAGTATAAATCGAACTTTGATGAAAGAAAAAACGGAGTGTACATTTTACTGTGACTGCCAATTTTTATGCATTTACTGTTTTCTCGTAAAATTCAACTGAATAGCTACAGTCAAACCGAAAAATACCAAATGCATTAAAAGGCCTCGTTAATATTCTGTCTAGCCTAACTTGTCCTTTGTTGGCACTGCGACAACGGTTAAAAGTTATTAAATTATTTCAAAAATGCAAGATCATACTGACACAGGCAATTTCTGATTTTATGGGTTGTTTCAACCAATTTGTTTTTGAAAGTGTGGTTTCTTACACTGCAAAAAATTCGACTCAAAAACCTGCGTAAAATAACCCAAATTAATAAGCAAAATTACTAATTTTTTTGAGTAAAGTAAAGGCTTTACTAAAATATTGAGTAAACTTGAAACTTTACTCAAACAATTGAGTTAATGAGTAAATTCGAGTCAAATATACTCAGGAATTTTTTGCAGTGTAATCCTAACCTAACGGCTAACCTTCCTTGCCGAATGCACATCTAACGAATGGAATGCCCCTAATAATTACAATTGTACACTGTACATTTTTCCACGTGTTTACGTGTTTGGATTGCATCAAGATTCTGCAGTGACACCACATCTACATAACATCCGGCATTTAGATGCTTGAATCCGGAAGCAAGATTGACAATATAATCAATTTATTTGTCTATACTAAACCACAACCTACGGCAAGTTTTGAAAAGAACACGCCTTCAGTACAAAATTTCATTCGAAATTCAATTACCGAGAAAGGTGTTGAAAAACGAGGTCTCTGCCCTAGTGTTGTCGAACTAGTTTTCAGCATTTTGGGCCTGTATACTGCATTGTAAATCAAATCTGTTTCATTTCAAGTTGTTTATTTTGTTGGTATAAGCTGGCATTCCGCAGTCCTCGCCTGTTTAATGCCTAGGAATTTGGACTGTCTAAGCTTAGTGAGAACTGAGATGACTCATGATTAGGGAATCTATAGCATTTTGTTTAACAAGTTGGATTCAAAATCATGACTTTCAACCCATAAAATGTTTTTGTCCAAGTTCTTTATATCATCAGATACGAAAAATTCAAAACGCCTACATTAATGTGCTTAGACTAAATGATTTTTTCCGAGTTTTAATCAATAATGCTTTAAACTCATTTCAAACTTTTCAAAACTTTCCAGAAGGTTTTTGATAAGCAGTGTTTAATTTCCAGTCATTTTTGACTAATTAATTTAACCGTTGTCGCAGGGTCCGTAGTTTTGTGTCTAGAATGTTTTAAGCCATTTCCTTCTCTACGCTATAGCATTTCATTAAAAAGAACTCGCTGTCGAAATTTTAATTACCCGGTTTGCGGTTTAGTTTCGTAATCCAAATTGCAGTTGAAACATAACATGTAATAGATATTGAAAAAATTTAAATATGACTATATGGGGATCAAAGTATTCAACTAAAGATAATTACGTTGAGTCACTCATTGTTTTGACATATATTTGATGTTATGGAAAGTGCCGAGATGATAAAGAAATGCCCGTTTGAATGAATATATTAACATATTTTCCCCCGATGTAAAACAAAATAAAAAAAGTTCACGATGAAGTATTACTTCATCGTGAATTTGTTTTACATCGGAGGAAAATATGTTAACATATTACTTCATCGTGAACTTTTTTTATTTTGTTTTTAATACATCGGGGGAAAATATGTTAATATATTCATTCAAACGAGCATTTCTAAAGTCAGCTAGCCTTGACAAGCTCTTAATTTTCCCAACTTTTAAACTGAGTATATTTAAATCGTTTTCATCTGACCAAGTATTTTTAAGACAGATGGTTTCACGCTTATTTCGTTATCTGCTCAGTGAGTTCTATTTAATGAGATGCCAGCGCTTTCAACAAGTGACGTGTAACTAGGCCTAGAGCTCCCAGAACTGACTAGAAAGACTAATTACAAGTCCGTCAGCGTAAAGCCTTAAGCATGCTAGCGGCCGGGTCACTAAAGCTGTCATATACAATGACTGGTATTTTATCAAGATGGCCAGGACATGTCATTATGCGGCGCGTTTCAATGACACGTCAATAGTTACGGTATTTGCTCGCGAACAATTTATGAACACGCTGAAAAATACGTTCAAAATTAACGACGGCAACGTAATATACTAGAAAAACAATCTTATACCTTGACGATGTAAATAGACAAAAATTATTTATAAATTATTTGTAATCTCGCGTATTGCTACTGTGTTACATAGCTTGTTGCGATGAAAAGAAAGGTTTCGTGAGATGCATCATACAGGTAATTAGAAAAGCGATGGGGGGGGGGGAATTTTCAGCCTGTACGATGTTTTTTCGGCCGCCTGCTTGTGCTAGAAATTTTTTGCGAAATTTTAGAGGTAGTATTTTGCCCCCCCGTCACCTTTCCATTGCGCCCTCTCTCCCATCACCCTTCCATTAATGGCCCGTCCTCTAATGTGTGTCTAGCCAGTCCGGGATTAAAGGGTTTTTTTGCGGGGTGACCTTTCGTATAATTTCCTTAGAAATGACGTCACAATACCGTTTTACGCACACTTTCACAACAGTTTCAGTGTACAGGTCAGGATTGGTGTCAGGGTCAGGGATTGGGTTAGGGTAATTTCAGGGTTAGATTGAGGACTGTTAAGATAGTGTTATAGGATTATGGTTTAGACTAGGAAATACCACAAATTACATTATTGTCAAATTGTCACGACGTTTCAATTATTAAAGAAGTGTCTAGAAAAGTCGCACACGCTGAATCCAATAACCAGAAACACCTCCGCGCAATTAGCAGTTTTACAACTATCTGCCCACACAGTTGACAATCTGGGCTCCAACTATATATCTATGGCTCCAACACTAACATTTAACAGTTTGGCCGTGCTTTGATTGATCGTGTAAACGATAAGTTCGCGATAACAAACCGCAACCAGACACAGTACTTCAGCACTACAGATTGTACTACAGTGCGGTGCGCTCATGATCAAGCATGCGCAAAACAAGTGCGCAACAAACGCGTTTTGAATGAATACCAAGATTTTATGATTCCGAACAAACTACCAGACTAACCAACTCACGCAGCGAATAGAAAGCGATACCAAACTTCGTTTGGGCAGCGAAATTGTCCTCCGGGAAAATTAAGCACTATTTTTGAGAGGTACCCCAGAAAGATTTTAAGTTTTAAACGTTTTCCATCGTAAATATGTGATATACACAAATCAATGTAATATAACTGTTTATCCATATATACAGTATGTATATGTTAGCTTATATAATACAAGTCTGCATGCATATTTTACAATACTATATAGTCTATATATACATCATAATTAACAAACATGAAAGGAGTTTAGTGACATATATTCATTATAGACTGTACTGAAAGCCACTTTCATTTGCACCATTTGTTCAGTTCAATAATCACACCCATGCTATAGTGGCACTCGGGGTGGGTAAAGTTTGGATCATTCTGAGAAGATTTGTAATATATTACTATAGCAAAAATCTCATCTTGATCAACTTGTTCACTGTCAGAGCTGCCGGATATGATGTCATTTTAAATGAATTGCAAATTAGCTTGCATCTGTTTTGCTGCCAAAATTCGAGCTAAAATCCATCTAATGACATCTCGCAACAATTTGACAGTGAAAATATTCGTTATTCAAATCCAAGTCATGGTATTTTCTAGTTCCTTTAATAAAAAAATACGCTCTTTTCTGTTCCAAAAGTTTAGCATTTCTGACAACCTTCCGACGAGTTTCACAACTATCTCATATCAATTCAATCTAAATGTACGCATAGCTTTCCAAATAATCTCGTATAACCAAATTTCTGTGCCCAATAAGCAAACTCTCGCCATTATCCATAAAGGTATCCTTCTCCAACTCCGTACAAATAGCTAACCGTCGAGACGTACCCGGGGAGGAAACTGAACCACTTTCATATTGCGACACAGATTCGTCGCCCGACAGACGGTTGTTACTTGATACAGAATCCAAGTCTTGACTTCCCCATGATCTGTTTGAATCAGTGCGGGATATCGCCCCGTAACTCAGCTTGTTCCTGATGCTGTTGCTTTTAGATCTGTTAAGCTGCAGTCCCGAACCGAATTTTCGTCGTGTAGGCTCGGAGTGCACACGTTGCGTCGAATATGCACTGGTAATCTGATGCCGGCAGCTCACCTTTCGGGTAAACATTGAAAATCTTGATTTGTGGCTATCATTATTGCTGTGTTCTAAATCGTATTCATTCACAGACCTAGTGCGGCGGTATCTCTTGCGTAGACTGTTCAACATTTTTGTTACACGTTGTTTCTGCTGTTTACGACCTATACACTTCGCTTTATCAGTTTGGTACGAAGTACTTTTTTCATATTCAACTTGTGATATGTACGAAAACGTGAAGTATTAGAACGGATTCAGATTCTGGAGTGCCACTGGAGTGAAATGGAACCGAAACGTAGTTACTACTGAATTGTAGAAACGAAAAGCGAACACTTTGAGAAGAACAAATCAAGGGCATCAGATTGAGAAAGGTTGCAGGCTAACACCTGTATTCTAAAAGCTCACTCACACTCAATGAGAGGAGGTTCAATCTGAGCTTTTCTTGAGTGTCAATGCTGTTTTTGAATAGCTGGAGGGTTAGTGTCGTACCTTACTATGTGACTACTCACTCTCCAGCAATTAAAAAACAGCATTGACACTCAAGAAAAGCTCAGATTGAACCTCCAGTCATTGAGTGTGAGCTTTCAAAATACAGGCGTAAGGTTTGCATGAGGCCGAAAGAAGTTAGAACGGGACGATGTCGTTTCGGTCATAGGACGACGTCGGAATATAGAAAGATTTCGTTTCGGTCATAGTCAGTGTTTCTAGTCACTCTATGGATGAGACCAGGGCCGATTCACACAGTCATAGTGCTGTTTCTAGTCACTGTTCAGGGCTCAAAATAACGGCCGGCCAAAAATGCCCCTTGACCGACACTTTTGTACCTCATCGGTCATTTTGATCGGCCACATTTTCATGCCTTCCAATGTGATTGCTGACGTCTTGAATTAAACATGAAACTATGATGTATCGAAACAAGTTTTTAATAGTTTGTTTCACTGTTAGTGTAATAGGGTTAGTGTATAGGGCCACTCAAAAACATATTTTGAACGACTTATCTCCCGTTATTTTGAGCCCTGCTGTTTGCATGAGACCATGGACGATTTACGATAAGAACGGTTACGATAGACTATGAACGGTTACGAATGACCATGGACTTTTTACGATGAACGGTAGACCATCAGACCATGGACGATTTACGATTACAATGAGATTTCGTTTGGGTCGTAGTTTTATTCCTAGACCGCCTACTCCTTAGACCGGAGTTGAAAAAATAGCTCAGACCAATTAGACGTCATTCCGGGACGATTGGGAGCAGGATGAATGTAAACACAAAATATTTTCGGATGAGTGTGAACATTGGAACAACGCATTTCGACTCGGAATTTGGAAATATACAAACATTCCACAGCCCACAACTCCAGGATTTAAAGATACCCTCTGAATGCAATCCGTTTCGCACGGTCTGTTTAATGTATTTTCACATCTTTGTTCAAGTGCTGATAACAATCGCGGTAGCCATAAACGTCTCGCGATAAACGATCAAGGTGGCCACTTTAATCCGTCTGGCTGCGCTACAAATGGTCACAAAGGACGGTCGAATGCTAGGGTTACACGTGCGATTTTTTTCTCCCGCGGGCAACGCAACG